TTATGAATCATGAAAAATCACCTCTTTTGCCGTCGAAAGAAAAAAAAATATGAAGATTAAACGTGACGTTAAAAACCAGATAATGAATTGATTTAATTCAAATTTCGAATGCACACTTACTTCCCGGTACCACTATATCGGCTAAGAATTTAGCTTCGTTGGGTGTAAGCGAAGGTGGAAGTGGTTTCACGCTCTGAAATAAAAGCAAAAATACATTTTGTTCGCGTTATTGAAATGCAAATTGGGGCATTGAGATTAGATACCTTTGGATCATGGATAAAACCAAGGAATGATGCAATTGGGATGAACATTCCGCGGCCACCTGTTGTTCCATTTATACCCGTAGTTATGCCCACGATTTTGCCATTTGTTTTTGAAATGACTGGTCCACCCGAATCGCCAGGTGTAATAATTTCGCCATCGTTCCTAGCTTCGCCAGTGGTAAAGTACAAAGTCTGAACTGGGTTAAATGCGCTGACACGATCGACATCAGATATATAGTTCGCATCGCAACGCCTCAATATCATTGGTCCGATGTTGTTCAACACGCCATACCCATAGACAGTGACCGCTTCTGATGTGTTATTCAATTTGTAATCCTTGTCCACGAGTTTGATACTGCCAACGGTATCGCTGAATTCTAACGGCGTTTTCAGTGTAAGTTTGGCAATATCAAATGCACCAACAATTAAATGACTATAATGAGGGTGCCATGCAATGTTCTCTTTTTCGACTTTGATTAGGTTTTTTTCCAATGCAACTTTTGTACCAACTACCACATAAATATATGGAGCGCCAGCCACACAATGGGCATTCGTGATAATTTCCGTTTTTGACAGAATAAATGCGGTACATTCGGACAGCATTGCTCTATAAGCATCAGTTGATTTGTCTTTGAATAGATACAAATATCCTGTAATAAAATCGTTTCTCTCAGTACAAGCAAAAATGAACACACACAAAATTGATGGAATATTTGAATCGAAAATTCACACGAAAAAAGAATAAAAATGATTCTAAAGCTGACTTACTTGCGGGGGCATAGATTCCAGCTACAAACTTTGCCTGTGACATATTTTCGATTACTTCGCCCTTGAGAAGAGCTTGCGAGAAAAAGCCATCTGTTCATTTGTTCATTAGAAAAAAAAGGTTGAAATTCCGAATTGAAAACTCTTTTGGAATAATAAAAAGCGTGTTTGAAAACCAAAAATGTCTTACGTTTTCCTTGAAGTTCCTAGAAAAAGAAATTTCGTGTTCACATTCAATTCTACAGGAACATCGCATTTTGTTGGATAAAAATGAAAATGATAAAGGAATAGAAAAAACTTACCGAAAATTCAACGATAAATAGCACCAAAAACAAACCGTGTAGTAGATTCATTTTAATTTGCCAACGAAACAGAGTTTTAACCTGTTGCACAATGATAATTTGAGAAGAGATACTTTGAATTCGTATCGTCTTCCCTATGCAGTGGTGCCTCTTTTATACCATTCATCTATCAATAGCTGACACATGCACTGCAACGTATAATTGATGAATTGTGGTATTTTTCAGTTATGGAATTTACGAATTGAGGTCTACTAACACTATGCAACAAATTTCAAAGAAAAATTTCCCCCAAAAAGAGGAGACTCATTTCCAAGGTTTTTTGGCCCACTTAATCCAAATCTGATACGGAAAGCAATGAACGTATCTTGAAAACTAGACGTTCCAGGACAAACTAACGCCAGATTTGGATTAAGTGGGCCCAAAAAACTGTGTAAATAAGTTCCCTTCTCTGTTATTCCTTGTTGTTGCATAGTGTAATCATATTCAGACACTAAATGAAGCTCAATAACAAAATTCCTTTGATGGATACGTGTAGCTGATACAATTTGTGTAAAATTATAGCAAAAAATGGAATACGTTCGAAAACATTTTAAATTCGTTTGTTCTCCAGCCTGATGATGTTCCTAAGAAGAGCGAAACGTCGCATGATAAACGAATAATCATTTTCGAAGATGGCTTTAGCCCAACTCTTCACTTTTGTATTTATACAGATGGAATGAAAAAACCGCTGCGCGTGTACACCAAAGGAATTTGGTGCATGTGATGCTGGAGTGCACAGTATATATTATGTGTGTACGTTGATATTCAAGTTATGAATTCATTTCGGAGTGACTAGAATTTACTTTAATGGTACTTTCTTGTTCAATGCGTGATGTAGCGTTATCATGTACATATGAGTGGTCGGGAATAAAAATGACCAAAGTTGAACCACTTATGGATAAGCGTATCACAATATTCTTGTTTTTCAAGAGTGCAACATGAATTTCGTTCGCTTGAAAGTGAATCGCGAAATATCTGTTGATTATAGAAATCGTGTTTCACTTTAATTGAAGCAAAAATATACGATACACTTCCAAGTCCATTGCGACTTGATTTCGGAGTGAAAATTAAGTGTAAGGAGCGCGAATTTCGATGTGCCGATAATACCAACGGTGCACACAAAATACTCTATTAGAATCTGAAAATATTTTTTTTAGAACTTTTTTTCGATTTTTGCCTGTATTGCGACCATCTACATGGCAGGTTTGTATGAAAATCTCTGAGGTCAGAGCGCGGCTGCAATTATACATTGATTTACATGGTGAAATCTACACATGGCCAGAACTCGCATTTCCGAGCAGAATTCGGCAAAAGTAATGTGTCCATCGCCTCCAAAACGCTATGATTTGCCATCATTTCACCAGTTCCGTAGTACCTATTCACCAACCTATGCTTTTGGCCGGCGCAAGATAGCGGTGACGCCTGAAGATGTATTAGCAATTCGCGGCATTTTTAAGAACCATCAATACTTTTTGTTGTTGTCACGAATTTCGCAACAACAAGAAGTATTGATAGTTCCTAAAGTTGCCGCAGATTCTATTTAGGCGCCACCGCTATTCACTGTCACATCAAATACATTGGTTCTTATGGCAGAGAAGCACACGTTGCTATTCTTTGGGATACCCAAAACTCATGCTATCTCGCTTAAACTTACGTGCAGATGAAACTAACGAATGAAAACTAAAATGCATTTTTCTCAAATTTTCAAATTTATTCGTTTCTTTTGTTGAACATCAAATGACAGGGGCAAAAAAATAGACGGTATTCAACTTTTCAGGCGCCTGAAACCCCTTTTTTCAAGCCTATATTCTTCTTCTTTGATTACGTCTTACCTTTGATTTCCGGTTTCAATCAAGCAATTGGTCCTCCAAACGCACACTTTCAACAGAATTGTAACACATCAAATGATTTGCATCAAATCGGTCGCCCAATTTCGATTTGCAAATGGCACTATTCAAATACTTTGTATCATAACGTCTCGTTCTCGCTGTTCCATCCAATATCATATCACCATAGACAGTGACCATTTCGGATGGGTCATTTAATTTGTAATCTTTGTACACCACATCGATGCTGCCGACGTTATTGTTGAACTCCAACGGTTCTTTAAGTGTAATCTTGGCAATGTCAAATGCGAATCCAGAGAATGCGTATTTCTCATGAATTTTTATTTGGTCTTCGGTGACTTTGATTTTTTTTCGCATTGCTTGATAGTTTATTTACTATTACATAGACATATGGGGCGCCGAGCACATTATGTGCACAGGTCAAAATCTCGGTTTCCGACAAAATGATTGCATTAGATTGTATTGGAACATCTTCGTCGGCATCGGCATATGCTTCCTTGGTGAGGGTAGGAAATTCTGTAATAAAAAAACGTCTCAGTATGAGTATTTATGTTTATGAGCCATGAAAATAAAAAATGACTTTAAAAAACAGATAATAAATTGATTTAATTCAAATTTTGAAAGCAAACTTACTCCCCGGTACCGATATAGCGGCTATAAATTTAGCTTTGTTAGGTGTAAGCGAATGTGGAAGTGGTTTCACGCTCTGAAATAAACAAAAAAAAACGATTTGGTTCGCGTTGTTAAGAATTAGAATTGAAGCATTGAGATTAGGTACCTTTGGATCATGGATAAAATCAAGGAATGACGCAATTTGAAGGAACATTCCGCGACCACCTGCCGTGTAATTCATGCCCATAATTATGCCCACAATTTTGCCGTTTGTTTTCGAAATGACTGGTCCACCCGAATTGGTGTAATAATTTTACCATCTTCCATAGCTTCACCTGTGGCAAACTGATAAGTCTGAACTGGGTTAAATGTGATGGTCCATTTGGCATCATATACATAATTCGAATCGCAACGCCTCAATATCATTGATAGATTCAAAACACCATACCCATAGACAGTCACCGTTTCTGATGGTTCATTCAATTTGTAATTCTTGTCCACGAGTTTGATACTGCCAACGGTATCGCTGAACTCTAATGGCTTTTCCAGTGTAATTTTGGCAATATCAAATGTACCAACAATTGAATTATTATAATGAGGATAACGCTTGCACCGTTTTATCTCTGAGGCTTTTTTGTACATCGTACGGTTTATACTTGAGCATCATCTCAATACCCACTACACTTTCGGTCTCCGTAAACGTTTCATTCGATTGATTGATCACATAATTTTCAATAAATTGTGGCTCGCATACCGAAGAGAAACTATTTCTATTCTTTTCTTCTTTTTCAGCAATCAAATTGTCAAATTTCTGCTGTTGATTTGAAATTTTCTTTTCAAGTTTCACTAATAAACGTTCTTCACAATCATTTACGTATTGAGACCATTGAAAATACATCGCACCATTCATATGTCTCACAATTTTCAGGTGAAGTGCATACAAAGTTCGTTCATTAAATGCTAATTTACGAAAACAATGACGAATTTCATTCCGCGAATATTTTGCCTTTGCCGTCGCCACCGCATTGCACGCTCTTTCGTTCTTCACACGGCACAAAATCGAATCCACAAATTATTATTTCATTAATAACCATACGCGAAAAAGAGCACAAAATCTTGATACGACTCTATACAAACAGAATAACGGGACATTAAGTGAAAATAAACGCGAAGTGTTTTGTTATGTACCTGGTGTTATGAGTAGAATTAAGAATCGTTTAGGGGAACACAATATAACCCCGGTTTATTCAAATATTCACAAAATGAAAAGTCGTTTCGCGTCGACAAAAGATAAAATTAATGACAATTTGAAATCGGGTATTTATGCAATCGAATGTGGTGTGTGCAAGCGCCGCTATATTGGGCAAACAAAAAG